GTGTGTGTGTGTGTGTGTGTGTGTGTGTGTGTGTGTATTTTGGGAGGTTTTTGATTGCTGTTTCCTTCTCTTTACTTATTTATTCTATTCAGATTCTCTATTTCTTCTTGATTCAGTTTTAGGAGGTTGTATGAGTCTAGGAATTTATCCGTTTCTTCTATGTTATCCAAGTTGTTGGTATATAGCTTTTTATAGTATTCTCTTATAATCCTTTGTATTTCTGTGGTATCCGTTCTTATTTCTCCTCTTTCATTTTTAATTTTATTTGTGCCTTCTCTCTTCTTTTCTTAGTGAGTCTGGCTAAGAGTTTGTCAATTTTGTTTATCTTCTCAAAGGAGCAGCTCTTAGTTTCATTGATCCTTTCTATTGTTTTTTTAGTTTCTATTTCATTTATTTCTGCTCTGATTTTTATTATTTTCCTCTTCTCCTCACTTGGGGCTTGGTTTGTTCTTCTTTTTCTACTTCTCTTAGGTGTAGGTTAAGATTAATTATTTGAGATTTTTCTTGTTTGTTGAGCTAGGCCTGTATTGCTGTAAATTTCTCTCTTAGTACCACTTTTGCTTATCCCATGAGTTGGTATGTTGTATTTTCATTTTCATTTGTCTCCAGGTATTTTTTGATTTCTCCTTTGATTTCTTCATTGATTCAACGGTTTTTAAGTATCATGTTGTTTAATCTCCACATATTTGTGCCTTTCCCAGCTTTTCTCTTGTAGTTGACTTGTAGTTTCATAGCATTGTGGTCAGAAAAGATGCTTGATATGATCTAAATCTTCTTAAATTTATCAAGACTTGCCTTGATCCCATTTATAATCACAACAAAAAGAATAAAATATCTAGGAATAAATTTAACCAGGGAGGTGGAAGACCTATACACTGAAAACTATAAGACATTGAAAGAAATTGAAGAAGACGCAAAGAAATGGAAAGATATTCCATACTCTTGGATTGGAAGAATAAACATAGTTAAAAGGTCCATATTACTTAAAGCAATCTATAGAATCAATGCAATCCCAATCAGAATCCCAAAGACATTCTTCACAGAAATAGAACAAAGAATGCTAAAATTTATATGGAACAACAAAAGACCCCGAATAGCCAAAGCAATCCTGAAAAAAAAAGAACAAAGCTGGAGATATCACAATCTCTGACTTCAAAATATACTACAAAGCTACAATAATCAAAACTGCATGGTACTGGCACAAAAACACAGATCAATGGAACAAAATTGAGAGCCCAGGAATGAAACCACACATCTGTCAATAGCTGATCTTTGACAAAGGAGGTAAGAACATACAATGAAGAAGGGAAAGTCTCTTCAATAAATGTTTTTGGGAAAACTGGGCAGCCACATGCAAAAGAATGAAAATAGACCATTATCTTATAGCATGCGCAAAAATTAACTCAAAATGGATTAAAGACTTGAATGTAAGACCTGAGACCATAAAACTCCTAAAAGAAAATACGGGCAGTACACTCTTGGACATCGGTCTTAGAAAGATATTTTCAAATACCGTGTCTACTCAGGCAAGGGAAAGAAAAGGAAAAATAAATAAATGGGGCTATATCAGACTAAAAAGCTTTTGCAAGGCAAAGGAAACCATGAAAACAATGAAAAGACAACCCACCAACTGGGAGAAAATATTTCCAAATCATATATCCAATAAGGGGTTGATTTCCAAAATACATAAAGAACTCATACAACTCAACAACAACAAAAAACAAACAACCTGCTCAAAAAATGGGCAGGGGATATGAACAGACATTTTTTTGAAGAAGATATACAGATGGCCAACAGGCATGTGAAAAGATGTTCAACATCACTAATTATTAGGGAAATGCAAATCAAAACTACAATGAGATATTACCTTATACTTGTCACAATGGGTATAATTAACAAGACAAAAAATAACAAATTTTGGAGATGATGTGGAGAAAAGGGAATCACATACACTGCTGGTGGAAATGCAAACTGGTGCAGCCACTACGAAAAACAGTATGGTGATTTCTCAAAAAATTAAAAGTAGAAATACCATACGATCCAGTTATCCCACTACTGGATATTTATCCAAAGAACATGAACTCAGCAATTCAAAAAGATTTATGTACCCCTATGTTCATTGCAGCATTATTCACAGTAGCCAAGGCGTGGAAGCAACCCAAGTGCCCACCAACGGATGAATGGACAAAGAAGATGTGGTATATATACACACACACACACAATGGATACCACTCAGACTTAAAAAAAAGACAAAATCGTGCCACTTGCAACATGGGGGCGGGGCGAGGGTGAAAGTGGTAAAGGGGCATATGTATGGTGACGGATAAAAACTAGACTATTGGTGGTGGGCACAAAGCAGTCTATAGGGAAACTGATATTTAATAACGTACACTTGAAATTTCACAACGTTATAAGCCAATATGACGTCAATAAAATAATAAAATTAAATAAATAGGAATGTTATATGGTGGGTTTTCCTTTTTTGAAAGAAGCATCTAGTGACTTTGGAAGATGAAGTTTGAAGTAAGGAGAAATCAGTAGGAGGCTATTGAGTCCAAGTAAAAGATCAGGAAGACTTAATTTAAGTAACTTTTACAGTGGTTCAGATAGCATGGGGTTTTACAAATATAAACTATTTAAT